CATGTGTAGCGTGAAACTTCATAGCAAGAAGTGTTACAAAACAGTCCCTGATCAATATACATCGAACTAACTCCTTCTAAAAACTTGAGTTTCCTAGTCTATCAACCACATTTTTTTAAGATGCTGACTATTAAGATGCTGACCTTTTAATGACAGTTTAGGATGTTCCGTTCTTGGTATTTATACCACGAAAAAGCAAAAATATGAATCCTTGGAAATGGGCCATTACAAACCAGAACACCAATCATGAGGGATTTGTGTGAAAGGAAGCTCACGCTTGTGACTAAGGAACTGGAAAGAGGTAAAGAGGTATCTACATGTGTTCATGTCAGTGATGAAATGGCAGGAGCTATGGCTTTTTGATACACAGATGAGCAATAAACTATCCAGGATCTAATGAAATGCAGATGCTGTACTCATATCCAAGGTGATTTCAAAATGTGCTCTTAGATATAAACCAGTGATATAAACCTTGGAGGACTGCCAATCATTTGCCAATCAGTCAGGGTTATAGCCCACAAACAGACAGATGGCAACATAATTGAGGTCTACCAGTGGGTCATTAAAACATCATGCAAAGTAATCATCTTGTAACTTAGTACCTGAGTAAAAGTTAAAATACAAACCGTTACAAAAAGCAGAAGTAAAAACCAGTCAGACGTAGGCAGAAGGGTTTTCAGTGTCCTTGTATGACTGCGTTCTGGTGTCCTCATATGCAAATGAATATAAGAGATCTAGAAAACACAGGGGAAGGGGACAAGAATGATCAAAATCATGGAATGACTTCTCTGTGAGGCGAGATTAAACAGACTAGGACTCTTCAACCTGGAAAAGAGAGAGGAGAAAGAGTATGACAGTGATGTCTAAAACCACAAGTGACTTGGAGAAGGTAAATGCAATAATTATTTTCACATTACAAAACTAGGGGTTATCAGATGAACATCAGGTAGCAGGCTCAACAGGCACGCTTTTTGGCACATTGTGTAATAAAGTATGAGACTCACTGCCACCACGTGGTCTGGAAGCCAAATATAAAGTATTGTGAAAAAAGATTCCATGAAAAAATGGGAAGAATGTCCCTCAAGCCTTGAGCAGTCCCAAAACTAAAGCTAGCTGGTATCTGTGCAGAAGGATTGTATATCAAAACAGTATCTCTATACATTTACTCTGTTTTTATAATTTTTTTCTTAAAAAAGTGTGGAAATTTAGTCAGAGATCAAACTCAGGTTTAGAGAGATGTAGCAGAGCAGCTATTCTAATGAAAAACATTAGTAGACAAAAAAAGTTTCCGAAAATGGCCTTTAAAGATCTCTGGGTTAGCTTTTAATAAAAAATTAAAAATATAAGAAGCTGGGTATCGTACTCCATCTGGCCTTGTTCTGAACCAACGAAAACCAACATGAATTGAATCCATGATTTCTAAGAGGCAAGCTATATATTCATGAAGCCTCGGGTAAATAAGCATTTGGTGACTGCAATATTCACATCATGAAGTAATTTTGCATTGATGGATGGATGACTAGGATCTAACCAGATGTTTGTATTAAAGCAAATACCTTACCAATGAGGAACAAAATGCATATTACAAAATCATAAATATCCATCACATTATAGTATCTCCTGTGTTTTCTGAGTATTCATTGATCACCACTGGTTACTCAGACACTTGATAGAATTTTTGGAGGGTATTAGAAAAATCTCTCTAAACACATATGAAACCTCTTCCCTGAAGAAGGAACTTCGATGCAAATAGTGGCAAGAAGTAGAAACGAATTGTTTTCCATGGGGGAGGATGTGAAATAAAGATGCATTATGACCTTAAAGTCTTTCCAACACCTATGCAGGATTTATTGTGAGCCAAGTCCTAAGATGCAATGACAAGGTAGAATGAATGAACACTCTTAACTGAATACAAATTTTGAATATACACTAATGTCCTGACATGCTTTTCTGAACAAAACTTGGCATTGTTAGAAACAATGGAGAATACAGAATGTCCATGAATATAAAGAAAACAGATATACACTGTGTAAAGGCTTGACAGACATTGTAATTAGTGAGTCAGTTCCTGAAATGGATAACCCGCAGTCACACATTGCCTACTGAGAACCCTCTTCAGAAATAAATTTGAGGAAGTCAAGTAGCAGCTCGCTTACAGGGCTCATTTTTTTAATGCAAGTTTGGAGAAGCATGGCACCTGGAAAGATACATAAATTTGACAACTGAAAATTAATGTCTTCCCCATTAGAACTTATTCACTGTAGATGAATGAATTGATGGTGTGCATCTGAAGATGACTGAAGCGTCTGAGAGGCTTCAGAAGATTCTTGCATTTCTCTTGTGTAGAAAAAAGACAAATTATTTTATCATACATTCTTATTGCAAAGATGTTCTGTTTTAGGAAACCGACGGCTGGAAATGTTATTACTTAAGTTGAATCAGCCTTAGACTTAGGCAGAACTTTGAAAGTTTTGATGAAAAAATATCAACAGGTTATTCTGGGAGCAACCGGCATGAAAGATGTGGTAAAGGGTGGATGCCAGGTTAGCAGAAGATCAGAAATAGCATTCTTATCTACAAGAGTGTGCAGAGAAAAAATAGTGTTCTGTGGAACCCACAAAAAGTGGAACATCAGTTTCAGGAAGTGAGTAATTTTATATGAAATGATTAGCTACAGATAACACTTTATATTAGTTAGTCTTCTCTTGTTCCAACAGTTGATCCATCAATGTTGGATCTCATCTATGATTCTCACAAATATCCTTTTTGAGTCATTTCTTGTTTTACTTAGGAAATAATAAGAACTTGTTGAAGCTGATTGGCTTTCAGCAGGACAAATTGCAAATCACTGCCAAGCAGAGCTGTCAAACACCGCTGAACTCCTGACTCCCAGCCTTGTTTTCTGTTCTTGCTTATTAATTATAGCTTTGTTGTGCAGTGCCCTCTTCAAAGCTGGGCTCCCCAGCCTTGCAGAGGGCAGTAGATGTCAGCAGGGCTTTATGGGGCCAGGGTCTGCAGCAGACCCATGGAACAATGCTAATTCCCATGAGGCAGCTCATGCTGATCTAAGAGCAGCTGCTCCTAAAAGATTGAAGGGAAAAAAAAACAAACCAGGATACAAGTTAATTTTCCAGAGCTGGAAGGCACACAAATTACCCAGTATGAAGGTTACAGGGGGGCTGTCTGACACTCCAGAGGGCTGTGCCACCATCCAGCGTGACCAGGACAGGCTGAAGAACTGGGCAGAGAAGAACCTAATGAGGTTCAACTAGGGCAAGTGTAGGGTCCTGCATCTGGGGAGGAAGAACCCCAGGCACCAATACAGGTTAGGGGTGGACCTGCTGGAAAGCACTTCGGAGGAGAAGGATGTGGGGGTCCTGGTAGATAGTAAACTATCCATAAGCCAGCAATGTGCCCTTGTCGCCAAGAGGGCCAATGGGATCCTGGGCTGCATAGGGAAGAGTGTGGCCAGTAGGTCGAGGGATGTTATTCTCCCTCTCTACTCTGCACTGGTGAGGCCACAGCTGGAATACTGCATACAATTCTGGGCTCCCCAGTTCAAGAGAGACAGGGAACTACTGGAGAGAGTCCAGCGTAGGGCAACCAAGATGATTAAGGGACTGGAGCACCTCCCTTATGAGGAAAGGCTCAAAGAGCTGGGGCTCTTTAGCCTGGAGAAGAGAAGACTGAGGGGAGACCTTATTAATGCTTATAAGTATCTAAAGGGTGGGTTGAAGGATGATGGAGCCAGACTCTTTTCAGTGGTTCCCAGTGACAGGATGAGGGGTAACGGGCACAAGCTGGAACAAAGGAAGTTCCATTCAAATATGAGGAAAAACTTCTTTACGGTAAGGGTGACAGAGCCCTGGAACAGGCTGCCCAGGGGGGTCATGGAGTCCCTTTCTCTGGAGATTTTCAAGACCCGCCTGGATGCAGTCCTGAGTGATGTGCTCTGGGCAACCCTGCTTTAGCAGGGGAGTTGGACTAGATGATCTCTAGAGGTCCCTTTCAACTCCAACAATTCCGTGACTCTGTGAACTGTTGCACATGGTGGGGGACCGGCTGTGCGCTTCGCCCCAGACCCTGCCGCCCCCTCCCAGGGCTGACCATGAGGGGAGGCTGGAGCGTAAGGGGAGGCCAGAGCTCCCCCGTCACATCGCAGGGAAGGTGGGCATGGCCACAGCAGTGCAGCCAGGCCGAGGTGCTCTGGAGGCTGAGGGAAGAAGCTCTGTGGAGAAAGATAGGCATGAGGGGGCACCTCCAGCTGTGGAGACCCCCTACGAGGCCCAGCACATGCAGAGACAGGCCCTCCTCATGCCTGTGTAGAAGCTCACGGATTTTAACGGGCAACGAAGGTGGTGAGGGGTCTGGAGCACAAGTCTTACAAGGTGAGGCTGAGGGAGCTGGGGTTATTCAGCCTGGAGAAGAGGAGGCTGGGGGGAGACCTTATTGCTCTCTACAGCTCCCTGGAAGAGGTTAGAGAGGTGGGGGTCTGTCTCTTCTCCCAAGTCACAGGCGACAGGACAAGAAGAAACAGCCTCAAGTTGCACCAGGGGAGGTTCAGGTTGGACATTAGGAAAAATTTTTACACTAAAAAGAGTTATCAAGCATTGGAATGGGCTGCCCAGGGAAGTGGTTGAGGCACCATCCCTGGAGGTGTTCAAAAGCCGGGCTGACATGTTGCTGGGGGACACGGTTTAGTGATGTTTTTTTGACAGAGTTAGGTTAATGGTTGGACTAGATGATCTTAAAGGACCCTTCCAACCTCGATAATTCTATGACTCTAACATGCTAAACAGGGTGGCTGCCGTGCCAGGGCGCAGAGGGAAGCGCAGGGAACAACCCAGGAGGCGTCAAGGCGCTGGGCGCGACCGCCCGCTGCAGGCCCCGCCTGGAGGACCCGCACCCGCCCGGCCCGGGTGGGTCTTGTCTTTCCGGCTGGTATCGATGGTTCGCTCCCGCCGGGAGGGACGCATGCGCAGCGCCTCGCCGCGCCGGCCGGCTCCACATCGGCGGAAGGGCGAGCGGAGAGCCGGCGGGGAGATGGACGGCGGCGGCAGGGAGGAGCTGGGTGAGGCGTGTCGGTGCGGCCGGAGCAGGCGAGGGGCAGCCGGGTGGCGGCTCGTTGTGAGGCGGAGAGCGGGGGTCGGGTGGGCGAGCGAGTGTGAGGAGGGGCCGGCCACCTTTCACCCCCCTCCCCTCTGGGCGGAATGGTTCGGCCCGGGGGGGGAATGCGCTGCAGCGCTCGGCGCAGCGGGGCGGGCGGGATGAACCATCCCACCCGGGGGAGGGGTGGGCTGTGCCTCAACGCCCCTCCGCGGCGGCGGAGCGGGGCTCCCCAGCGCACCGGGACGGGGAGGCGGGTGGGGAGGGCTGGGCGCTCAGGAGGCGGCCCGGCGGCACCGGGGGACGGGCGGGCCTGAGGGAAGTGGGGCCGGGAAGGCCGGGCCTCTCCTCCCGCTGCGGCCTCCTCGAAGGGGAGACCCGGCCGGGGGCTCTCCACAGCCGAGGGCAGGCCGCGCCCCGGCATGGCGGAAAGCCCTTCCCTGAAGGCGTCGGTCTCACCTGGCTGGGTTTGGGTTTAATTGGGAGGTCACGGTCTTGCGCAGAAGTTTAGGGAGTACTTTCTCATTGCCTCCTTGGGTGATGCTTTACAGTGGAAGGTTGGGGGTTTT